TTCTCTGTAAGAGATAACTTTGTGAGAATGTAATTTAAAGTAAGAAAATTACATGTTTTACATGTGAGAAAATTATAAAATAATGTATTAGTGACAAATTTTATTTAGATCACTGTCGTTCATAATTGTTATTTATAATCAAATAAATTGTAGCTTTCGTTTATTAACACAAATAATTAAAATTATTACACGCATACGGTCAAACAAGTGGACCGTTTTATTTTTTGAATTTGCATATGGTAGGTGGCGCGACTTTCAATCCCATAAAATGGCCGAAAATTGATTTTTATACGCGGACGCGAGTTCTATGATATTTTTGACGTTCAACTACGAACGAACGACGTATATGTTGAAAAATGATAATATTCTGAAAGAATGATAATTACACCGATACGGATTGTGGATTTATTGAGTATATACATTATGACCGAAATATAAAGCGTGACGGACCTGTACATTAACTACCTGGCGTTAAGACGTCCGGTAAATTTCTAATGTTTTTTCGAAATAAGAATTCGCGCCTAAATGAGTACTAAAGGGCAGCACAATTGCGTTCTGTGTGATTCAAAATTAGAATCCAAGGAAGCCTTGCAGGCACATTTTAGGTATTAAAAGAAACAATTCCTCTTGATCTACTCATAACCAAGCAACAACCTTATAAAACAAGGATATTTTAATACATACAACCCATATTTTTTTCCTACTCCAATGTGTATTCTTAATAAAAAAAAACATGCAAGGGACAGAAATATTGTAACTAGTTGACATCGTAATTATAATATTCAGCTACATTACCGATAGAGTATTGTTCGCGCTTTTTTACAATTGTTTACATTTCTTTTTGCCTTCAAGTTAGAACTGTTTCTATAATAAAACTAACAACTCAACAACAATAATAATAATAATGAACAATAGTAACATAGTAAATTAAACGTTACAATTATAGTGTCACGAAGTATAATAAAAAAAATAAAATTTCAAAACATTTTTTAAACAAAAATTAATTTTTAATTTGATAA